GGCAAAACCAATTCTTTTGAAAACAACATTTGTGGATCTAGGAGATATGATATTAGAATGCATGACCCGTTGGACTCTATTAAGGAGCTCCACCGCATCTGGTGCGAGAAAACCAAATGTATCGAATGCAAAAGGAGCAAACACATGTTGATTTTCTCTACATGCATTCTCGTGCTTTACCACTTTGCACGCAACGGCTTTCAAAGTGGCATGCCCAGCTGCGAAACCTCCGCTCCCCAAACCAACGAGAGGAGAGACACCAATAAGATCCACGCATGCATGCTTCCCTCCTATCCATCCAAAGACCAAAATGTTAGCCGGTCTAAGTGTGGACCTGCCATCCTGCGGGTCCGTCAAAAAGTTCACTGGCGCTTCTTTCTTCACAGATATACCAGCACGCCGACAAGCATCAAAGAGAACATCCCGAACCACATCATGTCTATACTTGAAACCACGGAGCTCTCTACAATGAACCGTGTGTTCCCCAATGGTATCCAAACATGCCTTGCGACAAACTGGGCATATCTCGTCAATTGGGAATATGGGAATCATAAGGCGGTAACGAAGAATAGTTCGGTACTCCACAGGAGACATATGCTGGCCAAGACCATCAATAGGGATAGTTAGCAGAAAATCTTGAGCATCAGGCTCTCGCAGACACTCAAAGACGGCTTTCTGTCTGACAGTCATATCGAAATTGACTTCCATATCTTGGACGATTTTGCTAAAAAGGGCACACGCCAAAGCTTTTTGGGATTTAGGGGGGACGGTGTCCTTATTAGTGAAACCGCTACAGTCAAATCCCGGAATCGTATCACGGAGACGAGTCATAGCACATAGATAATCCGAGTCCATACCACATATGCCACTGTAACGTAAGATGTGGTCTTGTAACGCCCAAGATTGGGCCCTCGAGGCTACGAATGCGTAAGAGGAAACCTCGTAGGCCGAGTACAAACCCAAACCACGGAAACAAATAGGTAAGGAAGCCAAGCGCCACTGAATGTGTCCAAAGAAGGGGCCTCCACATACCACCATATCCTCGATAGACCTGCGTAATCCCTTGTCAAAGAATAACACTGCCTCTTCTATGTGTACCGGCTGACATGTTCTTAAACCAAAGAAAAGTTTTGCAATGCCCATACATGATCGAAGCAAAAGGAGTTCACTCTGTGGGTCACATAGTTGTGGAAGAATGCCCATCAAATCAACAGCATTGACTGTTATTTTCACGGTCAGCCCGCTAATAAACCCCGCGTCTCTGCTAACAGCCCCCCCCCCCCCCCCAAGGAGTTTCACCCCCAAAAGAAGGTCTCCTGATCTCCGTAGGGAATAAATCAGCCCGAAGCTTCCTACCATCACATGAGGGCCAAAAAATCTTCGTTTTCTTGATGTTCAACTCAAGACCTAAACCTGGACCATGCAACCGAATTATGTTCAACACTCTAGCCACCTCCTCTGAATCCCCAATGACAGTCCCATCATCTAGGTACCAAGCATGGAGAAGGAGTTTACAATTGTCTCTAATCTTGTGCACAAGCGGGTGCAAAACAAGGGCAAAAAGAAGAGGGCCCAAGAGGTCACCTTGCTGCACCCCAGTGGCAGACGATATATGTTGGTCTCCGATATAAAGTCTCGCTGCTTGCCCGTACAAGAAATTCACCCACAAAGAAATGGAAGGGCACATCTTCTTAACCTCATGTAGCAATGCTGAACGAACCACCAGGTTAAAGGCGTTCGAAAAATCCACAGTCAGCATTACAAGAGACCCATCAACATTGTGTTCACTCAACACCCTATTGGCACTGTGTAACACAGCCTCAGCGCCGCCAGATACACCAAACGCAAACTGAAAATCATTAAGATACTTGGGCATTTCTTTACCCCACACCTTTCATGGCAACCTTGGAAACCAGACGCTCCATATAGTGCCTACTGCAATCGGACGGATCCCATTGTCAGGTTTAAGTAGAGGCGTGAGAGGAGCGGATGCAACAAACTCTGCCAAAATGGTTGGACATCTTCCCTCTAACCATAAATTAACAACTGAAGTGATAGCATGTATGAGATTTGTGGTAATAACAGACCCTTCTCCACAAAGGGCGTCTAGTAAGTATTGAGCCCTCAAGCCATCTCTCCCGCAGGAAGTTCCTTTAGGGAAGGATTTGATGAAACTAAATACACAATCAAAGTCTGCTACAAGGGGAGGTTCAGAAATTATAGGGCTCGACATGGATGGGGGTGGTCTGAAAGGGTGTTTGTCCTCCAAAGCTTTAATAGTATCACCATTATATGGTGCAACACTCGATGAGCATAACACTTTCACTGCTACAGTAAAATGGTCATCTGCAACCTTACGAAGGCACTGTCGGGTGTTGGTGTTACTTGATGTAGCCTCCTTATGAAGGATAACTTCACCCTGTCTCATAGCTCCAACCTCAGGATTGTCTAACATATTTTGAACTAACTTCGTGATACCATCCTCTTTCCCCCATGTATCCAAGGATTTCAGGATGGAGCTTTGCTGTAAAGATTTTCTATTCCCAGATCTACATTTTTGTCTATTTTTGGATCTAAACACCTGCAGTGTGCATCGAGGGAGAGATGGTTTGATTATTTTTAGTTAGTTAAATAAGTCCATCCGTATTTATTATTTTTAGTCCATCAATTTGTATTAATAAAATAATTTTATTGTAGTACTAATCTATTTTCTAATAAGTTAAATTAAAAGATCTTCATTATAAAAATATAGTTTAAATGAGTTTTATTAATAACTAAAAGGCTATATAGTATATGATTTTGAATAAAAAAAAGTTAAAGGATATTCAAATAAAAATATATATTAATTTTAAATAATCAAGCCTAAAAAAAACTTATATTTTATTAGTTTAATAAAAAATTTATAAGTTTTTATTTTATTAGTTTAATAAAACTTTATAAATTTTTTATGTTTTTTGATATTTTAACCTAATTATTTACATAAATGGTCATTGTAGTTTTTAAAAAATTACAATTTCAGCCTCTGATTCAAATTTTTTTATACAAATTGTAAAATATGTTTTCGAAACTTGAATGAATTGTCTATTTGGTTTATACGTGAGCTATATTAAATTACGTTTTTTTTTCCTTTATTAATTTCTTGTATGTTTTTCTTAAACAAAATCTAATAATTAAATATATGTGGTTTCTGAAACTTGATCGTCTCTGAGCTACATAAAATTATGTTTTTTTTCCCTTTATTAATTTCTTGTATGTTTTTCTTAAACTAAATCTAATAATTAAATATAAGAAAACAAATAAACCGCACTAACCCCTACCACGATTTATTTCTTCTCGTTCTCACTTTGGCTCACCATTCTTCTCCCCTTCGACTGCCCTAGTCCATCCCAAATCACCACTACCGTTACTTCCCTTTATTTTCATCACCACTCCCCACGTAGACCAACTCAACGCCACCGGCAATAATTCTTAAATAAGCATCACTGGTTGTAATAATGGAGGCAATTCCATTACCGCCCCTCGAACCACTACCAAACACCACCACTTGCGGTTGCCCTGCTCATTACAACCACCCTACCACCATCCACATAGGTTCTCTTCCACCATAACCGACACTGTCGCATATTTGATCCTAGACATAGTGAGGCGGTAAATGCCCAATTTATTGCAGCAAAAAAAAAGGGATAATAATAAGCGACGATTAATTAAGAAACCTTTGAAACCGAGAATCAAATCCCTAACATCAACAATAAAAAAGAAATCACAATCTGGTTTCCTGTTCTCCTAGCTTCTTTTTTCTTGCTCCCGCGTACTCGCATAGAACGTCAAACACGGACACACAGCCGGCAATCATTTATTTTGTTCTTCACCTGATTGAAAAACGGTTTTAACCTAGTTCGCGAATCGATTGGGGATGTACACATTTATGATTTAGGGAAGGGAAAAACACATTTATGATTTGGAGATGGACTAATGTAGTTCGACGTTAGGTGAGCAGCGATTGGCAGCACTTGAGAGGGAGAAAGGGAAGAGGAATGAAGGTGTGTGGGTGTTTCAGATTCACAGATGAGAGAGAGAGAGAGAGAGAGAGAGAGAGAGAGAGGCACAAACACCAAAACTATTGAAAAAGATCTAACGGGTATATATATATAGAGTAAAGTGAATATACCTAACAACCTTATATAAGCTTAGGTACCTAACCACATTATACTACATTGTTTTGCATTATATTTCCATTGCAATCGTCTAACGTTCTTAAACTTCAACCATTAATTTGATTTACTTCCAAGATTTTCATACATTCACCATTATATTCCTCCTACACCATTTGATTTGTAACGGTAGTATATGAAGCCCACCAGGGGGTCTCCGATAGAAAGATGTTATTTGAAGGAAGATAATGGTGAAAGTCCAAAGATTTTGGAAGCAATCAAGTTATGAGATTGAAATTTAAGAACTTTGGGTGATTATAATGCAAATATGATACAAATTCATAGAGTATGATGTGGTTAGGTAACTGAGCTTATATAAGGTTGTTAGGTATATTCACTTTACCCATATATATATATATATATATATATATATATATATATATATATATATATATATATATATATATATAATCAAGATCAAATAAAAAAGAAAATTTTGGTAGGAAGGTAAAAAATTATATATATATATAATATATATATATATATATATATATATATATATATATATATATATAATGCTTTTAGATGAGAGGCACAAACACCAAAAGTATTGAAAAAAATCTAATTTTCATTTTGCAAGCCCAGATTAAAACCTTACACTTTAAGCCTTCCCCAACATAGAGGCAATAGAGTAAACGATGACATTGGCGGTGAGGTCTAGAATTACACATTCAAAACATTATAGGACATTCTAATTGTCTGTGCTAGCGTTTTCTTGGCTACTAGTTTTGTGTACGTATGGTAAAAGGACTTAAAGAGTAAGTTGTTGATTATCTTGTGCTATTAATGCTATACAAGTAGATAGAGAAAACGTTGTTGTGAAATATTGGTGTTTTGTAATGTTTGCAGGGATGCTGATGGAGAAGAACAAGAAAGATGCAGACGTCCATGAGCTTTAACTGGTGATCATGATAAAAGAAGAATGTGAATTACAACAGCAAGTCAATAAATAACAAAGTGTGAGCGTGGATTTGTTTTGTCTGTAATTGATAAGCCCATGTTCTTATTAAAAAATCGATGATGTAAGCATGAATCTGCATTGAAAAACTAGTTACTTTTCTTATCTAAAAAAAATAAAGAGGGGATATGGCCAAAGAGAGAACCAAACCGATTGAATGGTATTTGACCCAACAAAAAAACAATGTCCTAAATACCCCTCTCACGAAAGGAGAAAATGAAGATTTAAAACAACAAAAATAAATAAATAAATAAAGTACACAGGTGATTGGTTATTACTTTCGGGTACAAGTATAACCATTCTTGTCCTTGTACCCAATCGATGAGTGTCTCTTGCCTGTATATTTGGAAGAAGAAGAAGAAGAATGAGGTGGAGGTTGATCAAATTCAAGGCTCCTCTGTCTCTGTGTTACAACATCCAAATTCTTTGGCTTCTGAAAATGCCACGCGATTGGAGACCCTGATCGGGATCTTGAATAGCACCCTACTTTTCTTTCTCTTTCTCTTTCTAAATAATGATAATGAAATCTGTATCTATTAGGTGCCCTGTGATTGTAACTATCATCATATTCATAGTTTCTTTCAGATGATGATGATAATGATGATGGCCTTCTTCTGCTGTGGGCCCTATAACCACTATACCTTGGACAGTAATCTCTAGTCGGTCTATTGTGCTCATGGCTACTGCTATCCCTATCCCACCATGATCTACTATTATAATAATAATTTCTTCCAACATTTTTCCTACTTTCTTCCACACTCACACTGTCAGCCAACAATAACGAGCTTTCAACTTCACCATTGTGCTCTGATGCCTTTTCTGGCAAAGGGTTTTCAATACTCCCCAAGCTCATCCTTGTCTTTGTCTTTGTCTTTGTCTTTGTATGTATTATCAGACTCATAATACACCCTCTCTCTCAACTCCCCATCTTCAAATGGAGATTCATAACCAATTTCTTCAGCTTTCACATGTTCATCTTCAGTGACATTTGAATTGAACCACACCCATCTTCTGAACCACCTTTCTTCTCACAATAACTTTTCAACACTTTAGGGGATTCACAACCACCTTCAATAATTACTTCTTCACAAACACCCTCCTGCTGATCTGAATCTGAATCCTTCACATTGCTTTCTTCTTGTATATCTGATTTACTCACACAGCTTTCACAATCTGATGTCTTTATGCCCAAATCTTCAATCGATTCATGTGTTTTCTCATTACACCTTTCAATCAAACCCAATTGATTCACGGATACACCTTCGGTGCATCTACTTTCATACCCTTCTTCTAACTTCATCTTTACACCTTCTGAACAATTTTCCTGAGGCTGAGATTTAACCAGCAACCCATCACAAGGCTCCTCCCACTCATCCATTACAGTATTTAAGTCCCAATGTAACCTTAATGCAACCTTTTTCTCTGCCTCGTCTGACTCCGTTGATATCAAAGTTTCTTTTATACCAACAGCACATGAATCAACTCCTGCTGTTGTGTCTTCTTTCAACACTTTTTGATCATCAACATAATCTGCATCATCATGAATGAAGCTGCTGCATGCAGCAGCAGCAAGAAGCTCAATACCTGAAAAGTCAACTTTTTTTGTCGGATTTGATTTATTACTGTTTCTCAATCGAGTCTTGGACTTTGTTTTCAGGTTCTGAGATAGTGAAGAATGATACCGCTGACTAGGATCTTCATAATGGACACAAGGAGTCTGAGGTCCAGGTGGAAGAACCCCATTGCCATGGAGACATGAAACTTGAGGAGGTGTAGATGGGGATTGGTGCACAAGTCTTCTTCTCTTCAAAGGGGTGTCAACTACCTGTCAGGAAGACAAGAGTAAAAAGTAAAACTTCATGTCACATAGCAGATAAAAAACATATGCATATACTATATAGAGAATAATAAATACCTTCTTTGTTTCAAAAGCAGTTGGATCTTGTTTTTTGTTACCCAATTCAAAAGTGTCTGCCCCTGTCTTCCTCGGGCGTCTAGCCATGCTCCTACGACCTTTTTTCAGTATGTTCCATTTTAAGTCCACATTGATATGGTTCAAAAGTTCTAAATCCATTCTGGTATGTTTTAGTTTAGACTGGTTCTAAACAATTAACTTATAGCTTGTAAGGTAAAAGTAGTTCAGAGTAACCTGCAAACTGAAGTAGCAAAACATCAAAGAAGGTTATTATTGTGAAACCACATATGAGTTGGGCAAATAAATGCAACAAATATAAACTTATAGGATTTTAAAGACAAAATAAGAAAATTATAAGATTTACAAGTATGCCCAATATTTAACACATGCTGATTTTGAAGGTAGCACTGCAACAGGTTTGGAAAAAGCCATGTGATTAAATATATCAGTTATGCAAACGAAGCTCTGGCTAAAATCTAATTAAACCCTCCGTACATTAATTTATAAATCTGGACTTTTGAGGGCTATTTCCTTTGAAGATATCTTGAAACCATCTTAATGTATCACAGTATGATGAGATCTGATTAGGTGTAAAGAATTGAAGGCCATATGAATTGTTAAGAGAAACAATACTTGCATATAAATAGCATAACTGTAACCCTTTATTTATTAGTTTGTAGATTAATCAATGGAGAACTCAAATCCAGATGAAGAAGGAAAAAAGTAGTCGATGTAATCAAGACCAACAATTTGCCCTAATTCAGTTTTTCGACAAGCACTCAATTTGAGTGTTTGTTCCTCGATTATAAGGAAGATTGTTTCCCCTCATCGTGGTGATAAGAGGAGATTTAGATTAGTAACAACGTAAAAAGATTTATTATCGGCGGACCCCAATGATGCGAATGACGTCCCCATTCAAGGAATCCTTAGAGGATAGAGATAAATAATGTCTGCATCGATTTAGATGTGAAACCTCAGAAGAGAAGGCTAAATCAATTTCAAGATGGAAGCTCAACTAAAGATGTAGATACATCAGTGGAACGAATAATCGAAGGATTTTTGTTTGTGGCATCGGTTCGCACATTCTGTATGTTTCGGACTAGTTCAGGTAAAATTCTGGAGATTCGCATAGTCCGATAGCCGAAAATTCTTTATCGTTTGATTGGAAAAAAAGGATAAAATCAAAAAAACTTATGGTTTCTCGTACCTTTGCTCCATATTTGACTGGACCTCCATCATCCGAATAACGAAAAGCCGCCGATTCTCTGGCGATCCAAACAATAATCACGTTTCCTCCTTTGAGTATAATGCATAAACATCAAGTCTTCTTTGTTTGATTCACATCAATCTTACACGCCAAAATGAACCAATCATCGAACGTATAGCTTTGAATGATAAAACAGGCGATGCTCTTGAAGATTTAACACCTCATAATCCAGTTTTTTCCTTCAAAAGAGCCTCAAAAATCATATGGCAACGGATCGCAGATTCGAAGGAGTTGAGGAGGGATGTATTTATAGTTGGATGTTGTCTGAATGACCCGAACGATAAGAAGCCCTAGGTCAAAGATGGAGATTTGGCAGCTAGTTTAAACGAGAAGGATGCGGCGATGATGGAGGATGTAATCATGTGGCTGTGAATTTGCCCTAATGATCCAACGGCCATTATGCCAAATCGTTCCACATCTAATGTTGTTTCGCACCACATTTAATTTTTTCTTTTTATAAGTATTATGCTTATGTTTGCCGATAAGTTGATTAATAGTTAAAAATTAATCGATAGATAAAAAGGAAATTAAATGATCTACCTATTTTTAATGTTGATTTGAAAAAAATAACCAAATTTTTTTAAAAAAAATAACCATTTTACATGGAATGGTTATTCCGGAACAAGAAAAAATATGTTTTAAATTTCAAAAAATACAAGAAAACTTTTGAAATTTCAAGAAGAAGTTTGAAATCCAAAAAATAATTTCAAATTTTCGAAAAAAAAAATTGTTTTTACTTAAAAGTAACAAAAAGTTAAACAAATATAGTAATATGAACTATATATGATATTAGTGCTTAAAATTAAATATTTTTATAACATTTCGTTTGAAATTTAATTAGTTAAGTAAATAAATAATAAATTCTTAACCCCGAAATGTAAATCATATTATTTTATTGTAACCTTAAATCCTTAATATTTAGTAGGGTGTTTCGATGAGTCAAATGTAATTTTAAGAGTGATTTTGTAAAGATTTCTAAAGAGAGAGAGTGTTTGGTAAATATTCGACTTAAATTGAAAGCATTTTGGAATGCTGAGAGGTTGAATGGTAATTTATGGATTTGTTTTGAAAAGATTATGAAGGGGACGTACCGGTTGTGCCACGTTTACATAAAGTTTGGGAGTTGGACACGGGAATTAAACCCGTTCCCCTCCACCCTCTTGCCAATGGACACGTTTCAAATCCTAAATCTAGATCGAGTTTCAACCGTCGCGATTGTTGAGTCCTCAAGCTGTCGTCCCTCCATCGTGAAGCCAGAAGTCGTTGTTACATTGTTGTCAACGAAGACAGAGCCGTCGTGGAGCACGTTACGGTTGTCGCTGTTGTAGTTCTCGATCGCGCAACCCTTTGTCCCTTTCGACTCTCCGTCTGTAACGGCACCAGCATCGTCGGTCGATAGCTTTGCGGTCGCTAGTGTTGTCTGTTGGTGCTTTTGTCGTCGTTGTGATTCTTCTACCGCCCGTTCACCACCCCTCCGCAGTCGTTCTCCTCCAAGAATGAAGTGCAATAGCTCGGTGGTGTCTTCGCCCGTGTGTGAGTGTGTTGCTTCTGCTAAGCCGGATGCGAGTGTGCTCTCTCTGTTGGCCAAAAAACGAGGGAACCACCATGGCAGCCCACCATGGTGGTTGTTATCTTGTTGCCGCCTCTACCACCGTCAGCCATCATGGAAGGTGGTTGTATGTGTGTATTGTGGTGCAAATATGTGTGCATTTTGTGATGTGATGTTGTAGAAATGTGTTTTTGGCCAATATAATCAAGGAAAACCCGCCATATAACAAACGGTTATTTCAGGTCAATAAAAGTCAAAGAAAGTCAGATAAAAGTAAAACAAGGCAAACCAAAGTCAAACGAGTCAAACTTAAGTCATATAAATAAATAATTAAAAATTAAATCATGAAAATTTTATTACTTAAAGAGTCTTCAGTATTTGGAATAAAAAACCCACCAAAAACCGAAATCCCCTTGTGTGGAGAAATTAAGAGCGAAAACCCACCCACCGAGAACCCCTCTTGTTTTATAACACTTCACATATTAATTTATAACACTAGATTAATTAAGGACTTACAAGTTTTATAACACCGTCGTGGAGCACGTTTCGGTGAAGATGAGTCGAAATCTTTTAATTTTAAGCGGTGGCACACTCCCCAAAGTGATAAATGACACATTTCAATGCAAATGTTGCATCATATTTTATCTCTTACATATATATATATATATATATATATATATATATATATATATATATATATATATAAACGAAATCACCTCCTCATTTCGCAATTACACATTTACAAATCAGTTACTTTTTCTCTCAAAAATCATAGAAAGGCTATCATATCTTCATACCTTTCCTAAGAACCTCTTCATATCTTCAAGCAATTCCCAGAAAATTCACTCAAACCTTTCCCATAAAACTTGTAAGTCCTTTTAAATTAATCTAGTGTTTTATAACACTTCACATATTAATTTAACTAATTTATACTCAATATAGTGTGATTAAAATAATATTAGGATACAACTATTTTTCACGCGTTCTAACCGGAGGATCAACACTATCACTTTGTTATCCAGCCAAGAACACACCTGATGTGAGTTCATACCCTTACAGTTGTTAAGATTTTTCCATATTTTTAGAGGGAATACAAGTAAAACAAAAGAAAATTTTGTATTAAAAATACAAATTGTTTTACGCATGCTTACTTATATTTTTGCGAGAATGCTAAAAATATACGAAACATCTATATTACCAAATTCATGATACGAAAAATATACGAAACATCCATATTACCAAATTATTTTCCACCACCGCCACCACCACCTCAAATGGATGCTGCTATTTTTCAAGTTGCTGTAACAGCCGCAGTGGCAGCCACCCTGGCGCAAATCAGCACGAATAGTGCAAGTGGGATGGGAAGTGGTACAATAATACTAACCAATGGAATAGTCAGGGGCACCCAAGTGAATGCTCCTACAAAGACGTCACTAATTTTAAACCAAAATCTTTCGATGGCACCGGAGGTGTCTTTGCGTGAACAAGGTGATTCGAGAAAACATAGTCGGTGTTTGAAATTGTGTGCAATCCCAGAGGGAAGCAAAGTCAAATTTGCAGCTTGCACTTTCGCTAACAGAGCTCTATCATGGTGGAACGGTTATGTTAAATCACTGACTCTCCCATTGGCCAACGCCATGAGATAGGAAGACTTGAAAGTTTTGATGTTAGCAGAATATTGCCTGAGGGGCGAGGTTCAAAAGTTAGAGCAAGAGCTCTGGAACCTTACAATGAAGGACGCTGGTATTGCAACCCACACTGCTAGATTTAGTGACCTAATTGTATTATGTCATGGGATGGTCACCCCATAGAGTAAGAAAGTGGAACGATATATCTTGGAACTATCTCCCCAGATTCAAGGGAATGTTATAGCTGCAAATTTGTCTACATTTGACAGTGCCAGATACCTGGCACAAACACTTGTGGATCATGGAGTCCGTCAGGGCTTTATGACATCTACTTCCGAGCAAACCAAAGGAAGTGACGACAAGAAGAAAATTTTGGAACAAAATGAAGGGTTAATCAACACAAGAGCCCACAAAGAAGCAACAAACGGTTGCAACCTACGTTGCTACCATCCTTGACACTCCAGGTGTAACACCCAAAGTTTGGAAGGCCAGGAAAGGAAATAAAACCCTAGTTTTAAAGGACGACTCGGTGAGTCCAAGGATGAACTCGGCGAGTCCGAGCGGGATCCGGGTCGAGGAGTAAGTGACCGACTCGGCGAGCCGGCCAAGGGGACTCGGCAAGTCTAGTCTGTGCGAGGAAAACTATAAAATCGGGACTTGGAGCCTATTTAAACATCTCATTCTCTCCCCTAGGGCTCCTTTACTGCCCCTTTCACCCAGAACATCGAACCCTAAGCCCCATTGTTGCTCATTCAAGCTTCCAAGCCATTATTGGGGTGATTTGAAGGGAATCATTGGAGCTTCAAGGATTGGCCTTGGATCTGAATATTGGAGAAGTTTTCTGAGTTATTGAAGGTATTAAGTCGTTCTCTCCTTTAGATCTAGTATGGTTGTGAGTTTTGGGGGTTTTCTAGCCATGATTAGTTACCTCTTTTGAGTTAGAAGCCAGATCTGAGGTTGCTACTTCAGATCTAAGCTCATTATGGTCTGGATAAGCATAAAGTAGCAGCCCTTGAGTTGATTTTGGAGCCTCTTTACCTTAAACCCTAGTTTATGGTGTATTTTGCTTAGATCTCCTTCTTTACACGTAAAGTTTGCAAATTTACGTGAGAAATAGGCTTGGGAATGGTAGATCTACAGTTTGGAGTCCATGCATGACTCAAAAGTCCTCTGCATGTAATGAGATCTGAATGGACTCGGCGAGTCCTTTGAGTGGACTCGGCGAGTAGCATGAAGGTGAGGAGCAACTCGACGAGTGGGATGAACAGCTCATCGAGTCAGATAAAGATTGCCTTGTACTTGGCGAGTCTGTTCTTGGACTCGGCAAGTCAGGTTGCGAAACCCCAAACCCTTCAAGTTGAGACTCGAATCAGTGAGTCGGGTGGAGACTCGGTGAGTTGGACAGGTCAGGACTCAGAAATCGGTAGACTCGGCGAGTCATGGACTGACTCGGCGAGTCGAGACGCGAATGGAAGAAATCTGAACATTTGAACTCGGCGAGTCAGTAGGGTGACTCAACGAGTAGGGTTGACCTGGAAGGTTGACTTTGACCAAGACTTTGACTTTGACCAGAGTTGACTTGGTTGTCTTTCGGGGGTCAGTTAGACTCAGTGTTGCTTTGATATTGGTAGTTCGGGGAGCAAGGGGAGCAGGAGTTCAGTGAGTTGCCGGGCAGCAGCTAGTGAGATTATCAGCAAGTTCAGCCAGTGCAGGTGAGTTTCCCTTTGTGTGAATGGGTCTAAGGCCACAATGCCAGCCCATGT